TGTTAGTTAGTTGTTGTCCAGTGGTTTCGGACTCATGGTGACCCCATGTATTCAGAGTAGGACAGCTTCATTAGGCTTTCACAGCTGTTACCTTTCCGATTAGACCTGTCTTCTGAGACACCTCTAGGTGGGTTCAACCAACCAACCTTTTAGCTGGTAGTCAAGAAAGTAATTGTTTTCTGGGACTTCTAATTCAGTTAATAATGAATGATAATAATGGAAATTTTTTTCCTAGACTCATGACACAACTAAGAAATGTCTATATCTCATCAGCATTGAATGGTTGTCAACTAAGTCCCTTGCTGTTCATTAGATGTGGGCCTTGGTCTCACTGAGACAAAGGAGACTTTCCAAGAACCATGGGTGGCTCTCTGGGATTATGTCCCTCTGCAGCTCTGCTTCATTGGCCAGGGACAGGCTAAGACAGCCTTCCCCAAGGGTTGAGGTCATCTCAGATCATACTGGACTGTAAGGGGAACCCCAGTCATGCAGAGGCCACATCGGCCAACAGACAGGACCCTTTTGGTGGAGCCACAAGCTTGGTGACCTTGGAGAAGCTGATGCTAATCCCTCCGAGTTGCCCACTAGTGTGGCGCTATGGGCTAATACACTAGACTGCAAAGTTAGTTTGAACCACAAGGTCAACAGTTCAGTCTCACCAGATGCTCCTTGGGAGCCCTATACAGAGTCACTATGGGTCGGAACTGACTCGATGGCACTTAACAACAACAAGCGCAAAAATGTTATTTGCCAATTCCTACCTTCTCCAGTGGCACAGTGGGTTAGTGCGCTGAACTGCAAAGTCGGTTTGAGCCGCAAGGTCAGCGGTTCAAACTCACCAGCCTCTCCTTGGAAACCCTATACAGGGTTGCTATGGGTCGGAACTGATTCGACGGCACTCAACAACAACAGCAACCCTTTCCAGAGGACACAATATGCACACTGGAGTTGGTGATTTCCCAAACAGTTCTACTTGCCCAGTTAGCAGTCTGCACCTTCCTTCCTGTCTGGTAAATTGTTCAGGAGAAAAGAATCCAGGTTAACACAAAGTCAATATGGGCACCGGACATCACCTTTCCAGCTCAGCTCCCCTCCAACATACTCCATTTTCTGCTTAATATTCAGTTCAGATGAAGACTCAAGTGTCATGAACCATGTTTAGGTTAAATGTGAGTTTCAGTATCTTAGTGACCTCATTTTGGGTATTCCTTAATTGTTTGGACTCTGGAATGAATTTATACAAATACAGTGAAACATGAGAGTCGCATTCGACGGCTCTTCACCTGGTGTTTTTCATCAATGAGACAGTGTGGTCTCCCCACTTTTCTACTACTCGTTTTGGTGAGTTTTTTCCTTCTTTGACAGGCTTCCACTTTACACAGGTTCCAGCTTTGGGAAGTGTATATGAGTTCAGGGGCAATGCTGTAGGATAAGCACTGGACTGCAAGGTCGGTTCGAACTGCAAGGTTGGTGGTTCAAACTCACCAGCCGCTCTTCAGAAACCCTACACAAAGTCGCTATTAATTGGTACCAACTCGATGACAATGACAACAAATGGTTATGTACTTGACTGCTAACCAAACAGTCAGTAGCACAAATCCAAGAGTGACTGCACAGGGGGAAGGACCTGGTGGTCTTCCAGAGGAAACCCTAGTGGGTCACTGAGTCAGAATGGACCGAGTGGCACAGGGCAATACATACAATCCCACGGAGATGGTTTTATGTCTGCTTCTTACCCAACAACCCTACGTGTAAATAAACGGAGGAAAATGTCTCCTTAACTCCATGCATTGCTACATGTAGAGCTGGAGTACTAACTGCTTCTCCCAGAGTTTTCTTTGCTTATTGTCACCAAACAGTCTAGTGACATTTTTAATGAAGGAGGGAGGGGAAATAGTGACTATGTATCCTATTACTTCCACCAGTTTTCTACAAGACATACATGGTATTCAGTAAACTATACAAATGTTCACCATGGTTCACTGAATCAGTGCTTTTTCCACCCCCCTCTGCCTGAAGCTCTTTTCCGTAAGCTAGGCCATACCCAGAGGCCTAGTATGATGCTGTAGGATAAGCCCTGGAACACAAGGTTGTTTTGAACTGCAAGGTCGGTGGTTCAAGCTCACTAGCCACTCCTCAGAAACCCTATATAGGCTCGCTATGAGTCGGAACCGACTCCACAGCACTCAACAACAGGCCATATCTGCAGTAAGCTGGAAATTCCACTGCTATTCTGGGTACCTAAACCAGTTGCTTGGTGGTTGAAGAATTTACATACTTCTTGTTTGCTGTGCTTCTAAGCATTAAGGGTTCAAATTTATTTCACTTTAAGAAACCGGAATCAAAGGTGCCAAGAAGTGACCAGAGAGCCTGCACTGGACAGATATTGGCCTAATGGGGACTCACCCATCTTCTTCCCCGACGTCTTAGGAGCAGCTCAGACTATAGACTACTTGGGTGACCATTGGAAAGGCCAGTGCTCTCTTTTGTTTAACATTACTTTAAGAATGGGACCAGGTATACTTGCATCTAGCACATCCCCATGACCCTTTGGAAAGGAATACTTTTCCACAGCTGCCAAAAGAAAACTCCTACTAGTTTCCTAAGATGAGAAATTAGGTTTTGAGTATCCAGTCATTTTAAATTGTCTTGGGCGATTACCATCCACTACAAATCGGGCTGCGAACCACAAGGTCAGCAGTTCGAAACTACCAGCTGTTCCACGGGAGAAAAATGAGGCTTTCTACTCCCATAAAGATTTACAGCCTCAGAAACCCTAGACAGGGTCACTGTGGGTAGGAACCGACTCCAAGGCACACCACCACCACCCACCCACCCACCCCCCTTTGACATTTCATGTATTCCAGTATGGGAAAACTTAAGGTAGGTACCATCTAGCTCAAGGAACACTGGGTGGTACAAAGACTTAAGCACTCAATTATAAGCCGAAAAGTTGGTGGTTCATATTCACCCGGAGGTCCCTAGTGATCTGCAGTCCAGGTGAATTGCTTCGGGCAAGTGCCAGCCTTGGAAATCCTATGAACAGTTCTACTCTGCAGACAAGAGTTGGAATGGACTCATCTGCATCTGAAAATAGTAGGGTCATGCTCATCTTGAAAAGCATTTTTTATGTCCAACATGCAATTGGTAAATACCCAGATTACTAAGGGAAGAGCGAAGAAACAATGGCTTCCCTTGCTAACATTAAGGAGCTTTCGCTGGGTATTCTCGGTCATTCCATGAAATTCCCACTTACACTAGTCATCTAACCCTGTCCTCATTATGGCCCAGCTGGAACCAGAGCAAACGGATGGCTTTGGAAGTGAAATTATTTAAGCTTTGGAAGTGAAATTAAGGCATGGAGGCATCATCCGTCTGTTGACATAACCCTATCTAACCTAAGATTGTTACCAGACACATAGAGAAAACCACTAAAGACCTCAGAACTGAAAGGAGCCTGGCCTTGTAGACCATAAAGATGAAGTCCCCTTGCATGTAAGGTGAGGGACACCTGGAGAGGTTAGAAATGATCTCAATGTCATGCAAATCATCAGCAGCAAAACCGGAACAAGGGTCAGGTGATCATAAAAGTCAAGTCTATGCTTGTTTACACATAGCAGCTGTTTCATTGCCTCCCTCCCAGACTCAGGGTCCCCTTCTATCATGAAAACAATAAACGGGTAGAATAAAACGATCATCTGAGGCTCCCTGGTTTACACACATCTGGTTTGATCCTTTCGTCCTCACTTCAAAATCATTTCTATGTCTCATCTTTAATGTGTTTGATTCAATACATTTGCTTTGAAACAAATCAGGGTTACCTCCACATCTTACAGATATGGGTAAGTTTGGGGTTTAGCTTCATCCAAGGTAACTTACTGACACTGACCCAGTTATTTATTTTAAAGAGAGAACACTTCACAGAAATTTAAGGATTCCAGCTTGTATCTTCTATCTGAAATAGAGCCAAGACAATATCCAATAGGAGCGTTCTGTCCTACCAATGATAGCTCCAAGGGTGGGGTAGAGGGGACGAAGTAAAAGAAAACAGACAGTCTCCATGACTTATTTTGAATTGTTTAACTTTATTACTGTTGCACCATTTATACAATTACATATAATTTCAAAGCATCCATTGTATATTTTTTTGTGTGTTTTTTGTTGTTTATTTTTTTTTTCCATTTTCCAATGAATGGTGTATTAGTGTCTGTGACACAGAATGGAAGAGTAACTGGAACCGCAATGAACGCAGACATTTTTTTTTTTCATTTCCACTGACCGATAACAGAACTACAGGTGCACCCAACCACGGACATGCATTAACTCGTCATGAGAAATCTAGGTAGGCTAAGTAGGATGAGAGAATGTCACTCCCAAAAATATCTGGAGAGGAGGAATGGGGGTGGGGGTGGGGGTTGGCATGGAGGTACGTGTGGACAAGCTCCTGTGGGCTCTGTCTGAAAGCTGGCATTCATCCACAACATTTTAAAAAATATCAAAATAAGAAAGGCTGTCAATTAAAAAGAAAACACAGAAAATACTGCTCTCATAAAGATCTGATTGCCTTGGCACAGGCCCTGGAGGGCAGAATCAAACGCCCAGCTCCCAAGCCCCTTTGTAGGAAGAAAAGATACTCGGATCTTAGCGGTGGGGTGCATGGAACAGCAGTTCAGGTATAAAAGGTGTACTCGACTTTCAGACGTTTAATCTTCAAAATCCAGGACAGATTAGTAAAGTTGACTGAAGGTATATTAGATATTTCCCCACAAAAATACTATTTGGATTCTCCCCTCCCCCTCCCTCCCATGATGGGACAACATTCTTTTTTTTTTTCCTTAAATCTTGGGCAATACATATCGTTAACTTCCAATCAATTTGAAACAAGTTAGTATAGCAGAGAAAGAAAGAGAGAGAGAGAGAGAGAGGAGAGAGAGAGAGAGAGAGACAGGTTGTTTCTGTAAGTGGGATTATTAATATTTTCCCATAGGCTGTCCTTGTGGTTACTCTTTCACTGCTATGGTTTGATCCGAATTAGCTGCTGGGGTCTCAGCAGGTTTCGCCTCCCCTGCTGGGGTTGCAGGGGTCTGGGCCATAGGTGTAGAACTAGGTGCTTCCGTGGCTGCGGGGCTCTCCTTGGAAGGTGGGGCAGCCTCAGTGCTGCTAGGTTTTGAGTCTGAAGCTGGGGCCCCCTCACTTTTCGTTTCCTGGGTGGCAGGAGCTGCGGGAGCCTCAGTCTTTTTGGGTTCCCCTTCCTCCTTGCTCTTACCATCCACCTGAGTGGCTGCAGTGGTTTCGGCCTGGGCATCGGCACTGGCCTCGGGTGCTTTCGGGGCCTCTCCACTGGCAGCGGGGGTCGAGGCTGCAGCCTGCTCTTGCTCTGTATCCTTCGGGGCCTCCGGTTTGGCCTCTGCTGCCCCCTCTGTCTTCTCAGGCTCCGCCTTCGGGGCTTCTTCCTTGGCCACGGCTCCGTCTTTGTCCCCCTCCTTCTCTTCGGTCTTGTTTGCAGCATCCTGGGCATCCTTCTCCGGCTTCTCCTCCTTGCCCTCCTTCACCTCGGTGGTCTCAGCCACCGCCTGGGTCTCATTCTCCTTCTGGGTCGCCTCCTCTTCGGTCCCTGTGCCTTCAGCCTTCTTGTCTTTGTCTTTGGCTTTCTCATCATTCACATTGTATCCCTTCTTCTTCTTGCTCAGCTTGCCTCCCATCTTGGAGTTCTGTAAGGAAATACAAAAACACAGGGGGTTAACTTGTGGCTTGCGGAGGCTAAAATTTAGCAAAGGCTCTGCATGATGGTGGACCAATGCTGAAATCTCAAGTCTACAGCTGAAACAATGATGAAGTGTCAACTGTTGTGTTCTATTTACAATTGGGTTAAAAATTAAAGGATGGAGGCTGCAGATGAAAAATGAAGGCTCAGGTACACAGTTCCTCACAGCCACGAGTTTCAGAAAAGCTAAGCTGAAATCAAAGAATCAGTGACTTGAGACGAAGTCATCTGATTGTAAAGAGAGCTGGGCACTATTTGCTTTTTATCTGTATTCACAAGTATCTGCTCTGATCTATTGAGCACTCAGTCACAAAATGGCAGAGGCAGCCATTTTACATGCAGAGCATAATGAGTCAACATGGCTTCCTGATTTTTCAACACTGTCCAGAGAAACTGCAGAGCTGGGATAAAGCCCCAATCACAACTGTCTAGAAAATAATCTCACAGGATAAACTGTTTTCCAATTCTGCTATTTATAGATGTATCCATATAAGCAAGCACATCTTCAAAGACCCAAGTCAGCTAGGATTCAGTCTAGGTACGTTTTTCAGAAGCAGAATCAGTTAAAAGAAAATGATTGGCCAGACTCACAAAAAGCATAGTTTAAGCTTCTTGCCAGGTTTTGGTTTCTCAGTTATGTTTTTGGTTAGGCTCATTCTTTAAAATGTGTGTCAGTTTTGTAAAAATTCCATAGGAATTTAAAATTCGTCTTTGTTGTTTATTTCCAGATTGGGATACACACTATATATACAGCAAGCTCCTTTTGGTTATAACACTACTCAGAAAGGATAATACACAGGTTCAGTCACTAACTAACAGAAAGGGATAATACACAAGTTCAGTCACTAACCAACAGAAAGGGATAATACAAATTCAGTCTCTAACTAAGAGAAAGGATAATACACAAGTTCAGTCTCTAACTAACAGCCCTTTTCACTCAAAAGTAAACCTCCAGACTGTGATTTTGGCTTAAAATCCTCCCAATTTGCTTTGAATCCTGCATTTCTCTCCTCTGAAATCAAAGCCTAAATCCATGAATAAAATGGACCAACATTTGAGCACTGTAGTTTATAATTCTTTGATTGAAATTTTTGTCATTGGCCAGCATGTATAAGTGGTCTAAAATAAATACAACTCCATCCATATTATTATTACAAGATGCCTTTTGGTACATGAGGTTGAACTGAAAAAAAGAGAAACTGACAGGCCGGACATTACAGTCCTCCTCCAATTCCATAATAGAAACCCAAACACCCATTTAGAAAGGACAGAACAAAAGGCAAGGAGTAAATACATTGTGTGTCGTCTATATACATGGGATCTGTTCTCTGGTGTCCACAGCATGAAATCCTATACAGCTCTCCACAGAGGTTTCAAGTCCACAGACCTAAAATCTAAGTTGCTAAAATTGGTTTTCTGAAACACAGTGAAGCCCACGTTCTCCTCTTGTTTCAAGCCCAGCTGTGATGAGTTTCCAGGCAGAAACCTGAATATGCTTTGTTTCAAAACCTATTTGTTTTTTCAAACACAGTCAATTTACAGTGTTTATTATAACGAGATATGAGAGAGGTTTTTAGAATCCCCTGTGGTAGTTAAGTGCTGTTGAGCTGGTACCAACTCAGAGTGACCCTGAATAGGATTTCCCAGGAGCAGTGGGTGGGTTTGAACCACTGACCTTGCAGTAATCCAGTGTTTATCTACAACACCACAGCAAGACTCCTTGGAATCCCCTAGAATTCTGCAAAAGCAGTGCAGTCAGCCCCTTTCCCAAGATGGTGTGGGTGAAGATGTTGCCTAGACCCAGGGATGAATAATATTTACAATTTAAAATCTGTCAACCGTCTGTGGCCATACCACCCTGAATGCACCCAATCTCTTCTAAAATCTATCAACTATAAAGGGTCAGTGAAAAAGAGGAAGATCCTCAATGAGCTAGACTGACAATGTGATTGCAACTCAAACACAACAACAATTCTGGGCTCAAATGTACACAATTCTGTGGATGGTGCAGGACAGGGCAGTGTTTCCTTCTGTTGTATACAGAGTCACTAGGACTTGGAACTGACTCCATGACAACAAACAACAACAAGTTCTATGTAGGTTGGTCTCTTGTTGTTAGGTGCCATCTAGTCACTACCAACTCATACAGACAGCAGGCACAACAGAACGAAACACTGCCCGGTCCTGAGCCAACCTCACAATCGTTGCTGCACTTGAACCTACTGCTGCTGCCATATGCCAATCCATCTCGTTGGGGGTCTTCCTCTTTTTCTCTGACCCTCCCTTTTACCAAACATGATATCCTTTCTCCAGGGACTGGTTCCTCCTGACAAGTCGGAGTGAGACAAAGTCTAGCCATCCTGGCTTCCAAGGATCACTCGAGGTGGACTTGTTCCAACACAAACTGGTTTGTTCTTTGGGCAGTCCGTGGTACTTTTAATATTCCCCTCCAACACCATAACTCAGGAAAACTTGTGGGGTTTTTTTGAAGCCCATAAAAAGTTTTTTTCGTGGCTTATTCAAAGAAAAGCAAACTCTAGACTTGTCCTTCAAAATTACAAGAATATTCAACACCAAGGGGCCAAAACTAAACTCATGGCTGAAAACTGGTACAGAAAATAACTAGAAATACAGTAGTAGAGATAGAAACTTCAGCATATTTAAACTGTAAGCTGCTGGAGAAATCTTTGCAATACAGAGTACAGTAGACGCATCAGATGTCTATAGGAATTCTATTGCCGCAATACACACACCCCGAATTCTAGGACAGCTCACGTAACCACACTTTCCCTCCATGTCCTATAAAATAGAAAATGTCCATCTTGTAAGAACGTAATGAGAAACAACAATGCAACATCTGACCCGTCACAGTACAATAAATGTTAAGTTCCTTTCTTAAAATTCTTAGATGATTCTGTGCTTGCAAACCCTATGTCCTAGGGTAAATACTGCTGTGTTGTTAAGTGCCATCAAGTTGGTTCCGATTCATAGCGACCCTGTATGGGGTTTCTGAGTAGTGGCTGGTGAGCTTGAACCACCAACCCTGAGGTTCAAACCGACTTTGCAGTCCGGTGCATTAACCCACAGCGCCACACCAGGACTCCTCATAATGTCTGTGAAAACTTCACGTCCATTTGGAGCCTAAGGTAGTTCTAAGTGACCTTATTTGGAAGCAGGTCTTAGCAGATGCTCATTAGTTGGGATGGGGTGGATAACACTGAGTCCATTCTGACTCATGGTAAACTCATGCGTGTTGCAGTAGAACTGCGCTCCAGGGGGTATTCAATGGCTGGTTTTTCAGAAGTAAATCATGAGGAATTTCTAAGTGTGTGGGTACTACACCTTCAAAGAGTTAGCACTGCATGCATTAAATATTTGCAGCAGCATCCTAGGTCTCCCTAAATCCAATACAACTGGTATGCTTACAAGAGGAGGACAGGACAGACGACAGACAGACATACAGAGGAAGACCGAGGTAGAGACTGAAGAGATGTAAGTGAAGGAATTCCAAGGAAGAGACAGGGAAGGATGTTCCCCTCACACCTTCACAGGAAGCATGGCCTTGCCAACCTGTATTTCTGACTTCTGTGCTTCAGAACTTAAGACAGTAAAAGTTTGTTGTTTAAGCTACCCAGTTTGTAAACATTGGGTTTCAGAAGCCCATGGAATCAGACACAGGTATCCCTACTTTTTCAAGTTCCCTTTAGCCACGTCCCTCTGCTGAAAGACTTGCATTAGTACTGTTTTCGCTAACTGAAAGAAAGCTAACGAAGGCTGACACTGTTCTGAAGCTCGTGTTCAACGTCTGTTTCACAGGGATCTGTCCAAAAGGCAACGTGCATACCAAGCTCCTTCCCAGGAACTGCATTCTATATCTCAGCATCAAGCCACCGTAACTTCCAACGTTGCCTGTGAACACTGCATGCCAGTGTGACGTTAGGTTTCATGTGTTAATTAGCATGTGTCCTAGGTAGGTTACTTCCATATAAATTAATGAACAATGCTTTTTTTGCTTTACACCATTTTGGCTTATGAAAGTTTCGGAGAACGGCTCTTATTTTCATATAGTGGTGGATACCTGTAACACCCCAACAGAACAGTAGACTATAGGCACGCCATGCAAGCCTCAGAAGGTTTAGTGTCAGGGATTGTTAAGTGATCTTCCTAAGAATTACAAATCTAAGTGATGGAAAGACTCATCTAAAAGATTCTGGGTTTGGGCATTTCAAGCTTCCTGTTGTTGATTCTGTGTATGTAAAAGTAAGAAATGTATCAGCACAGAGTTAATATTAAAAACTTCTAGCCCTAATATTAGCCTAATACTTTTAGCTAATATTAAAACTGGAGTCCTGGTGTGGTGCTGTGGGTTAATGTGCTGGACTGCAATGTCGGTTAGAACCACAAGGTAGGTGGTTCAAGCTCACCAGTCACTCCATGGAAACCCTATGCAGGGTTGCTATGGGTCAGAACTGACTCAATGGCACTTAACAACAACAAGAACAATATTAAAACTAGTCCACTTCTTTTACCTGAATCCTTAAAAAAAAAAAAATTAAAAGCAAGGTTATAAGCGTTTCTTTTTAATATAAACAGATCATTCATTATACCAAGAAATAATTTTCCAGACAGAGATAAAAATTTCAAACTAGTCATCAAATCTGCCTGCTACTAACTTGAGCTACTGCTAGAGCGACTGCAGATAACATATCATTTCACCTTTTGCTGTACTTTCATTCCTTTTCATCTCACAGTGCAAGTGGACAGGAGAAAATTCCATCTTAGACATCAGGATAGAAAAATAATCCAAATTCTTTAGTTAAAACTCATTTGCTGCCTCAAATTTGATACACAGATGGTGAAAACCTTGCTCTACATCTATGCCAGTAATCTAAACAAAGATTGTTGTTGTTGTTAAATGCCATAGAGTCGGTTCCGACT